AAAAAAGATGTTAGAACTTTTCTGTCCCATAGAAAAGAGAGAGGCACAGTGGTTTAGAGGAGGGCCTGGGAGCTGGAGAGGTGAGGGGGCTTAGTGGAGGGCCAGAGCTGCGGGGGAGGCTAGGTTCTGTTTGTACCTCTCCTCAGCACCAGCCAACCAGAGGAGCCCAGCCCAGTCTGGCGCAGCTGGAACTCAGCTCTGGTTCTCCCCTGGAATGCCCGCCTTGCTGTCCCCTATTCTCTCTTCCTGGGCTGTGTAGTGGCCCAGCACACAAGCTAGGGGGTAATGCTGCCAGCCTGGCTCAGGGGGCCTTAAGGAGGCCACACTCAAGTTGCTCATGTGACCAGGCACTTGACCTCTACCCTAGAGTCCTCTTCTCCTGGGAGGTCAGGTGCCACCTTACGGGCCTGTGGATAGCTGGAGAGGTAGGACAAAGGCTGGATCCCTACCCAGGAGTTAAGGGATGAGGGCTCTCATTCTCTGTAGGAAAAACAATCATAAAGAGTGGGGACAAGATCAGTGGACCTGAGCCAACGGAGAAAGGAGGCTGCTTAGAGCATCTGGCTCTACTTAATCAGCTGGTGCCTTGGATAATTTAACTTCTTTGAGCTTCAGTTTTTCACTTACAAAATGGAGAGAATAGCTCTGGCTGGTTGGGCTCAGTGGTTAGAGCGTTGGCCTCAGACTGAAGGGTTCCAGGTTCGATTCCTGGTCAAGGGCACATACCTGGGTTGCAGGTTTGATCCCTGGGCCACAGCCGGAGCACGTGTGCAGGGAAACCAATCTATATGTCTCTCTCACATTGATGTTTCTCTCTCTCTCCCTCCCTCCTTCCCTTCCACTCTCTCTAAAAAAAAAAAAAAAATCAATGGAAAAAATATCTTCAGATGAGGATTAACAAGAGAGAGAGAGAGAAAGAGAGAGAGAGAGAGAGAGAGAGAGAGAGAGAGAATACCTACCTAATGAGGATTCAAAGATAAAATGAGATAATCCACTTAGGTGCCAAGCTTTAGATATATTTTCATTCAGAGGGAAAAAAAAATGTTTTTAGAGCCGGTCATCCCAATTTTCTTCTTTAAAAATTTATCTGTATTGTCAGAAGTATTACAGATGTCCCCTTTTCCCCCATTGACCTCCTTCTCCCTGTTCCCATTACCCCCCTTCCCCAGACCTTTACTGCACTACTGTCTGTGTCCATGGATCATGCATGTAAGTTCATTGGTTAATCTCTTCCCACCCAGAAATTTCTCAAAAGAATAATCTCCATCTAATACATCTCCAGCATATTATCAGTACTCATTAAAAAATTGTTAACAAGAGAAGAGCAACAATGAGAAAAAACAGTGAGAGCAGAGGTGGGATGTGTGTGGTGTTGATGGCTGTCTGAGAAGAAGGGTTTATTTACTCATCAGTTACTATTATTCGTTTGGTGCCAGGCCCAATGCTATGCTGGGCTCAGGAGGTGCAGAGATGACCTTGAACTGGAGGAGAACCATATGGAAGGAAAACTCAGAGTGACGGGGGTCTCTTCAGGGCCTAACTTGTGTTTCTTCTCTCTCTCTCCCACCTCTGCCTCCAACCCAGTGTAAGCTCCAGGATAGCATAAACCTCACCTGCTTGTTTTCATCTGCCTTCACAATGTCCAAAACAATGTCTGACACACAGAAGTGCCAAAGAAACATTTGCTGAATGACTGTGTATTTGAGCACTAATAATAGAGACTGTAGAAGTTGCTATGGGAGCATTGAAGAGATCTTTGCTAACTCTGCTCCAGGAATTAGAGGTTTCTCAGCAAGGGCCATTAAATTGGGCCTTGATGGATGTATAGGAGATCAATAAGTGGAAAAAGACATTCCAGGCATTGGGGCCAGTACATTCTGAAAACATGGGAGTAAGTTGAGGGGCCAGCAAGTAATTGAGTGTGGCAGGAGCATAGAGTGCAGGAGAGGGGAGTGGAAAGACACCAAACTGGGGACATAAGGACTTGAATGAACTTAGGCTGTCAGAAAGTCCTTATTAAATCTAACCACCTTCACCCTGGCCGGTTTGGCTCAGCAGTTAGTGTCGGCCTGCGGTCCAGAGAGACCCAGGTTCGGTTCCCGCTGGGGGCATGTACCTCGGTTGCAGTTTGTCCCCGCCCTGGTTGGATCGTGCAGATGGCAGCCACTCGATGTGTCTCTTTCACGTCAATGTCTCTCTCTCTCTCTCCACCTCCCACTCCCACCTGAACAAAAGGTGGGAAAGCATCCTCGGGTGAGGATTAAAAAAAAAAACCTAACCACCTTCCCTGATGTAATATTCTAGAGAGAGTAGTGTTTCCAGCCCTCACTGTTGCCCTAGGGAGGCCCCTCCCTTCAAAGTTAAGGGTCTTACCAGGAAGGGGCCAAGGATCTAGAAAGGGGCAGTCATACCTCCAGAGTTCCTAGAATTGGATGAGGGTGAGACATGGCATCTCTGGGACCTGTGTGAGTGCTACATGCTGCCCCCGTGTGGCCTCACCAGAATTGAGCAGCAAGGAAGCTAGCCAGGTGGTCTGTTGGTAATCCCAGGGGGCTCCAGTCTCCTGCATCAGCCTCCAGGAAAGTTATCCCAACCACCAGCTGTCCACAGACCAGATCCAATTGCTTCCTTTATTCCACATATACTCAAGGTTGGGCCACTGGGTTTGGAGAGGCAGAGCAAAAGGAGTCAGTTCACATTTAGTAAAGCTTTGTTCACACACACACACACACACACACACACACACACCTTTCGCCAGAAAGCAGCTGTGTATGTACAGGGGATCAGAAGACCAATGTTTTGGTTTCAGTTCCACCCTTATTCATGGAGTGACCTTGGGAAAGTCACTGCACTTTGATGGGCCTCCCATGTCTCCATCTGCAACACAGGAATCACGATCCCTCTTCCTGTCTTCCCTGCAGGGTCACTGTGAAGATCATCCGGAGGACGAATGCTGCAAGTGCTAGGAAAAATGTTTAAAGAGTGCTCCGGATGTAAGGGGATCGTGCTGGGTATTAGATAGGGGCTGTCTTGGGCTGCACTGAAGTGTTTGTTTACACCCAGATGGGCACTGCTGGCGGGGAAAATTTAAAGGGAACGTGCTCAGCAAGAAAGCTGCTTGCCAATCACAACTGACTGAACATCTCCAAGTAAGAATGGAAGTCTATGGGGAAATGGGGAGCCATGGACTGGTCTGTGTTTCCAATTATGCTCGGGATTTTAGGACTGAGCCCAAGAGTAGCAAGGTGAGCCAGTTCAGTGGCCCTGACATGGTAGGTTAGCCCGGAAATGAGAACAGCTGCCTTTTCTGAGGCCAGGGCCCCTCTGTACACTTGCTCCACTCTCTCCACGTGGGGCTGCGGATGCAGCTCTCTGCAAGTGCTTGCATGTGTTTGGGTCCAGCACAGTGGGAAAGGCCTTGAGAGAAAAGTTCAGAGGTAGAATGAAAATAACTAGACACAGGAGGAGGATGGGCACTGAACTTGGGAGTCAGTCACCTGTGGGGCTGCCAGACTTTCTTATGGACTTCCCATGTGCTAGTACCTGCTTCCCCTACCCTGATGACACTGGAGAGGTACCGAGTATCCCAAACCTTAAAAGTAGTAAAATCTTTGCTTTTGCAAAAGAATGTTAATTTTCTTCCTTTCATGGTGTGAATCTCACCTGGTTCTGGCTCTTTTTGCTTTGGTGGTCCAGAAGCCCTGGATGAAGTGTGAAACCTAATTCTAACAACTATCTAGGTTTGACAGCCAGAATATTTGTTTTCTGATTCTGACTTCCTGCTCAATTATATTCTTCCTAATTCTAACCTGTAATATTTTATTTCATTGTTTGTTTTCAATGTAAGCCACCTGAATTTTGCGTGCAGAATAAGGTCAAGTACTTTTCAGTAAATGACTGGAAATAAAATAGATGGCCAAGTTCTTACCATGGTTGACAGCAGCGGATATTTGGTGAGAGAATTTTAAGGTCAGGCTTGAAATCATCTATTAAAGGCTCTTCCCCATGCCCACCTTACACCTTGAGATAGTCCCAAAGAGAAGGGAGTGAAAAGGGAGTTGCCCAAGGTTTTATGGCACATCACCATCAGAAGAAATGAATACCTACTTTTCCTGGCATCCAGTTCTCTGATCTTCCCAGACATTGGGCCTCATTCTTGTTGAATGGTGAAAGTAAGGAAGACGGCTCACCATTGGCCGCTCCGGTCAATGAAGTAGAATGCTATTCCTATTCCTGTTTCAATTAACAGAATACAGCCCCTGGCTGTCGACCTCTTGTGACCTGCTGGTTGACAAGGGGCTGGGGCTGCCCTCCACGGCAGATGCAATTGGGTATGGCCACAACAGGCAACTCCAAGTGCAGCCTGTGCCAAGGCAGAAGAGGAGGGATTTACCTGGGTCCCTGTTTGAAGGATAGAGACAACTTTCTCAATGACAGATGCTCTCTTGACCTGCAACCAAGCAGGACACAAGGGAATCTGGCCCATGGTGGTAGCCCAGGAAGTAAGGTGGGCAGACTTCTGAGGAGCAAACATCCTGCTGAAGTTCATTTTTATTTTTTATTATTTTTTTTTATCCTCACTCGAGGACATTTTTCCATTTTTTGTTCAGGTAGAATGGGAGGGAGAGAGAGGAACAGAAACATCGACGTGAAAGGGACACATCGAGTGGTTCCCACCTGCACGACCAACCAGGGCAGGGTACAAACTGCTACTGAGGTACGTGCCCTTAGCGGGAACTGAACCCAGGACTCTCTGGACTGCAGGCCGATGCTCTAACCACTGAGCTAAACCGGTCAGGGCTGAAGTTCATTTTTAAAGTCAGCTGAAGACCAGTTTGAATCAGATATGCAGTGTAAGTTTCCCTTAGCTTTTTTTTTTTTTCAAAAGGGCCTCCCTCATTCACAGACACCCAACCTGAGGGCAAATAAACCTTTCCAAGTCTTTCTCAAACAAAGTGGTCCAATGATGCTTCCAGATACAGAACTCAGACTCTAAATTGTCTAAAATGAGATTTATTGCATGTCATGCAGTTTGAAGTCCATGCAGCAAAGAAGACTAGCACAATTTTAATGCATTTAAAAAATAAAATAAAAACGTGTGTATGGGAGGTAAATGCACAAAGTTCTAGTCTCCTTGAGTCCCTGGGAGAGTAGGGTTTGGGAATGAAACCATCCCCTCTCCATGCAAGGGATGTTTCCTGGACCTCTGGATGCAAATGCAGAGCTCCAGGGCCAGAGCAGGGACAAGGAGAGAGGACCACTAATGAAGAAGAAGCTATGCACATTCACCTCATTTAATCTGAGGGCAGAATAAGGTGGAAAACCCTGAGGGCGGCAGCTGTTCCAAGAGTCAGGAGATAACATATACCTGTTAGATTTGCTCCTAAAATGAAGTGGAGGTAAACCCCTCAAAAAAGAAAAACAAAAGAAATATTTCTTTAACCACACTCTTCAAGAAAATGCCATAAATATGTTATTTAATATTTTCATTTCATAGCATTGGACACACAGCTCAACATATTGAAATATTGATTCCTTGAAGAAAAAAAATGGAAAACAGGAAATAAAAAATATTGCATCTTTCTGTTGGAGAATCTCGGCCCCCAGGCGTGGGGCGTAGCGCACCAATGTCCTAGCCTGCAGGAGGCGCTGAGGTCGGCGGGGTCCTCTGGGGAGGGACGCTGTGCCCATTGCCTGGGGCTGTATGGCAAAAATTGTGTTGGGTGTCCTTGGCCTTGCCAGCTCAGGCCCTCAGTCTCCGGTCACCTGGGGGGCCTGCCCGTCGGAGGGCTGGTTGGCTGACTGGATGAACATGGGCTGGGCGAGGTCCTGGCCGGCAGGCATGGTGACTTGCTGGATCTGGTAGAGCTGCTGCGAGGGGTGGAGAGGAGAGAGTGAGGTCACCCCTGGGAGAGGGGCATGCAGCTCCCTATGGGCCTCGAGTTGGTTGGGGGCCCCAGATACTTCAACCACCACCCACTGCAAGGCGTCAGAGGGAGGAGGGGAGGTGGAGCTCTGCTGGGGTTGGGAGCAGCAGACACAGGAGCCACCAGCACGGTGTGAGGGGGTGTGTGTAGTGGGCGGGGAAGAAGTGCAGGGAGTTGCATTTCCTGTGGCTTTCACTTCTCTGGGCTCTGCCTCTCCCGTTAGCTCAGAGCCTCGAGCTTGCTGCACGCTGTTCCTCTGTGACAAACACAAGCAATTCGAACCACTGTACCAGCAGCTTGGAAGTCAGCATTTCCCCAACTCTCAGTAATCCTCACTGGCAGGGGCAGTGGGATTACCCCCTCTCCTCCTTTCCTCCGACTATCTGGCTACACTGCACCTGCATTTCCTATCCTACATGGGCCCTGCTGAGGAGGTCGCCTGGGATTAAACACTTCCTACAGCCAAGACCCGTGAGGGGTGAAGCGGACGCTCACATAGCTACTTTGGAAGGTTAGGGCCAACTGGATATGTGGTTTCTCAGGTGTCCCCAAAAGAAACCAAAAGCCAATACCCCTGCCATAGGAGCCCTGGCATGTGAGCCTAGCACCTGGTGCTGGGAGAAACGAGTGGATGATGCAGCAGAGAACACAAGCTTGGGCATGTCATCCCATCAAGTCCTCAGGAGTGTCTGGGACCACAGTATGAGGGGAAAGGCCGAGGGGAAAAATACAATTCTTTCCTCACATAGGTTTAGAATTACTGAATTACAGGCACTGAGAGAGGTTGAGAGGTCACATGTTCTCTGCATTTCAACTGATCCACACCATTAAAAAGCAGCAGAGAAAAACTAGTCCTAGAGAGGGAAACGGGAGACCTGGTTCTGGTTCTGCAATGAACAGCTGAGTGAACATGGACAAGGCATTTCCCATTTCTAGGGCTGTTTACTCATCTGCAAAATGAGGATTTGGACTATGTAATGTCTATAAATCTAAAGGACAGGCACCCTGATTTAAAGGCTATACTTGTTTTAACAATTTCTCTCCACTCATTGTTAACAGAAAATGGGACAGCTGCCCTAACCATCCAAACCCACAGATGTCATCCACTAATCCCCACCCCTTAACTACTCACCCTCTGCCCCTGCCCAGGCTGGGTGTCCTACCTGTCCATCTGTGAACTGGCTGAACTGTTGCTGTCCTTGCTGGACCTCTGTCTGTGTGATCTGTAAAAATCAAGATGGCAGAGTAGACAGGTCAGCTGCAGGATCTGGTCTACCAGCCCACCATCCAGGAGAAGGTTGTGAAAATCAATATGAGACAACGCATATAATGTACCCAGAATAAGGCCTGGCATAGAACAGGTGCTTTGATGAGTAGCAGAAAAACAAGAGTGCCTCCCACCCCCTAGCCCTGAAGGCTACTCAGTGTTGGCACCACATAGAGGACCCTGGAGCACATAACATTAATAGCCACTTACTACCCTCTCTCCAAGGTCTTTCTGGGGCCTGAGGCTCAAATCAAACAAACACCAAGCTCCTGGGTGCTGACATGAGAGGGCATAACATTTATGGTTTAGGCAGAAACTCTAAGAGTCTTTCAACCAGTGAAGGTAGTTTGCAAAACACTGGGCAAAGTAGTGAGTGGTCCCTTTCATTCTTGGAAGGTGGGCTCCAAACCAAACCCGTATCACCCAGATTATCTGACTGGAATATGAAACACCCTGGCGAGCAGGTGGCCTTGGCCCTAGAAACCCTTGTGGCAAAGCTATGAAGCACTTTTTCCGATAGTGGCCACGTGCAGCCCTCTGGGCCAAGGATGGGGGAGGGGTGGAGGAAACAAAAGAAAACATTTTATCACGTGAACTTAAAATTTCAGATGCGGAGTTTAAGAGAAATTTATTGACGTGAAGAAATGCATAATACAAGGCCAGTTGCTGGAAACAGCTCGGTAGACTAGAAAGAAGACTGAAGCACGCTGTGTGCACATGTGTATCTATGGGACACGTGACTAGTAATGTCCTCTGTGCACATCTCCTGGAATCATTACAGCCAACCTGCAAGCTAAGGACTGTCCTCTCAAGTGTCCTCACAATGGCCAAAAACAATCCATCAGGTCTAGGGGACAGGTGTAAAAGAGCTTCATAAAATTTTCTTACTATTGGGCCTTTCTCCACCTACCAGTTTATAAGCTGATTGAGGGCAGAAGTTAAGTTTTGTCTCTAAACTTCCCAGTGCAAATTAAGTGTTCAAGAAATGTCTGCAGAATAAATGAATGACCCTGAGACAAACAGAAAATATTCCTCCTAGATAAGGTTAAATATGCCATGGCCAGTAGAAGTGTCCTCTATATCAGCTGAAAAAAAAGTTTCATTTACCTTTAAATTCTGTTTACATATTATTTATTCAGCATTCATTCAACAAACATTTACTGAGCACCTACCATGTACAGGTGCCAAAATTACAATCTGTTACACAGCCTCTGACTACGCTCAGGTGCTCTCTTCTAGTTTCTCCCCCTCCTCCCTATATACCCAACTCTCCCCACTTCCTGGCTTCAGTTTCTGGTTCCAAAACTCACATCAGGTTAGAATCTTAAAAAACAAAAGTATGGTTTGTTTTTTGAAAGGGGGAACGGGAGGTAATCCAAGGGTGTGACCAGTCTTGAGCTCTGATTCCATGTCAGTGAGCCCCAAAGAAATTAGGGAAAAGCCCAAGTCCGATGTAAACCTTTAATGATCCCAGAGACTCTATGGAACTCAGAAGACTAACTTTTGGCTCATTCCTCACATCTTCCCAAATGAAATCTTTGGAGACCTGCTCTACAAACTCAGCCCTGTTACTGCCGTCAATAGATACATCACCAGAAATGCAACGGGGCCAGACAGATCCAGCTCTTAAACGATCGCTGCTTTTTTTGGGTCTGAGGCAAAAAAAATCCATTAACAATGCCTCCCCTTGACCAGCTCCCCTTGACCAGCACCCCTCACCCCCTTCAAATGATGCCCATATTCCCCAACCCCCAAACCCAGGGAGGCCCCTCAGCAACTGTGGCTCACAGCCTTCAACATCCTAGGGCATGAGGAGAGATGAGGGGCAGTCTCTGGTTAAGGCTGCCTGAGGAGGTGGGGGTCAAATCTAAGGAAGCTTTCCAAAGGGCACAGGAGGTGCCAGAACATAACAGCTATTCAGTTCTAAAGCTGGAAACTCAGCCTGACCGTGAAGCAGTCTGTCAAAACGTTTCTGGTCAGACCTGCATGTAGGTATCCTTGAGACTTCCCTGCTTTGCACTTCCTTGTCCCTCCAGAATAAGATGATAAGAGACATGCTTTGAATACAATCCTCCATAAAACCCCACCTGTCCCTTAGGGTGCAAAATAGACATGCAGGGTGTGGAAGTGGCTCTTGCTGAAGAATAAGATGGACGGGAAAGTTGTGTGCTGAGCACTCCTTTCAAGCCAGAAGCCAGCTCCTGCTGGTCCCCAACGCAAGCCCTGCATCTCTGGGGCACATACCTGTTGAGCATTGGTAGCAAGTGTCTGGATCTGTCCCTGCACAACTTGAGTGCCTGACACAGGCTGGGCTAAGCGAATATACTGCAGCTGGCCGGTGTTCAGCTGCACCTAGGGCAGGGCAGAGACAAACAGATCACAGGAGATTGAGTACAACCTCAAACAGGCAAACTCTTCATGTGCCCTACTCCACAAGCCCGCCAAAGAAGCCTACTCTGAATAGTACCTTTTTAACAGAGGTCAAAATAAGCAAAACCATAATACCCCTCACCCCAGAATCACACAACACAAAAGAGGAAACAGTTCCCTAAATGGACTTTGAGAACATTCCCTGAGGATCTTGTCACATATGTGAGAACAGCATGGCTACAGCTTCAACATTTGCTGGCTCTTAGTTGTTTGTTCAGTTTACCTTAGGACTTTATCCTAAAGGCTGTCTAACACTATTAGAATTTTGTATCTGAAGTGTGAGTCTTTCTCCATCCATCTCCACACAACTCCACCCCAGTCCCCAGAATGGCTGATGTAACACTGAGCAAAGCTCCAGTGTGTGCCAGGAGCACGGAACAGATGGCCGTCACTCCACACCGCAGCCAGAACTGCCCATCTCTATGCTGCACATCTTGGAAGAAAAATCTGGGCTGCTTTACTATCTCTGTCCCCAAGAGCCAGGACCAATGGGGGTCTGAGGGACTTTTAGGATCCTTGGTGTTCAGCACTAGCTTCTGGCCAAACACCTCCCAAGGGGAAGCTGAATCAATAAACCTTTCACAGAAAACCCCATCATGGGAAACCAAATCTACAAAAATGTCCTTAGAGTCCATCATGCTTAAGATTAAGTCTCAGATAATACAATAATACCACATGCTGCATTTAATTGTGTGCTAAAAGCCTTAACTCAGGCTCTTAATGCTCCAGTGTACCACGAAAGTTCCAGTGCTTTGAACATGAGGATGAAGCAAGGAGCAAGGCGGTTACAACGCAAGAGGAGCTGTGGCTCAGCAGAGAAGAGTCAGCAGAGGAGGACTGCAGACATTCACACTTGGGATGTGGGGGATGAAAGAGGTTCCAGGAGACCAGCAAATCTGGTTTCTCTCCATCTGGGTGCCCAGACACCACCCTCCCTGGCTGCCAGGGTGAGTTTCTTGAGGCTAAAAGGCCTCTTTACCCTGGAGTAAGCGTCCCCCTTGCCTTCAAGAGCTAATGTCACTGAAGGGAATTTTACTTCCAGGAGGAAAATGCTGACAGGAGGAAGCCACACTCCTGCATGCTGTGTTAAATCAAACTGCTTCTCTGAAGCTGCCAGCCTCCAAGAGGATTGGAACCGCCAAGACAGACTAATCCTGAAGTTTTGGTAGACTGCTCCAGAATTGTCCACTTAAGGCAAGGAGGACCACAAAATCCAAACCTGTAAGAATCTCGTTCAAAGGAGATAAGGCACAATATTGTGACCTGCAGTCATTTATTTCCTAGGAATATGCTGGGAAGCTTGATGCCAAGCCTCCCCTCCCCACCTCAGTCCCATGATACAGCTTCCAGGCAACAATGTTAAGTCACTTGTGGAGATGGGATGAAGGGACCTGGGTGGAGGCTTAGGAGACCTCATCTGCCGAGACTGGCGGTGTCTGGTCCCAGCACTCAAGAACCCCAGACAAGGCACACAGGATGAAAGACTAAAGCCTTGACCCAGGAGTGAGGGAAGATGTACTGACGCCATAGGGATTTTCCATTTCCTGGTCAGGAAGAGTTCTTTGCAGAAACTCAAATGGGACTGAAAAGCTGTGAGCCAAATAGTTCTAAGCAGTTCTTAGAAGAAGCAAGAAGCTCTTCTTTTAGGCTTAGGTTTACATATCTGGTGATATCCTTCAGTCCTCTACCACAAGGACAGGTCTGGGGATTCTCACAGCTTTTTTACATTAATTATAGAGCAAATAAGTCTACCCTTTGGGCTTTCTAAAGAGAAGTAGAGTTTCCTTCCTGAAAGTCATCACTACTTCAAGTACACTGATGAGTTCAGAAATACGACTCCTATCAGAGACTGTGAAGACAAAGGTCCTGTGCTAAAGCTCTGTGCCCCAGAGGGTCAAATACATTAGAGGTACAGGTATTGCAAAGTGGGAACTCTTCTGTGGCTGAAATGGGAAGAGTTTTGGTACCTCCACATGAATGAAAACCATTCAAGAGCGGTCTTGGGGGTGGTGGCTGAAAAGGTGAGGTGAGGCGAGGCGCCTGGAGCTGATGGGTACTGTGTGTGAGAGAGTATGATGACACAGAAAGAGACAGGCACACTCACTCCACTTTCCTAAGCTTTCTTCTGGCCTATCACTCTGTTAACTTAATAAGAACAGTTCCAAAAGCAGAGTTTAAGATACTTCTAAGCTTTTTTAAAAGAGAAAGTAGTTAATCAAGTCCAAGTGAATTTCTAGATCTGCCTACATTTCATTTACAATAGGAAGGGCAAGGGGCAGGAAATAGAACCGCTCCATGTCATTCACTTTTCTACATTTTTGGTGGCAAAATGACCAGTGTATAAATGGCAAGTGTTAATACAAAAACATTTTTAACAAAAGAACAAGTACAAGTAAAAAAGCCAACAAATCTAAGAAATGAAATCCCCCAAGGCACACAGGAAGCAGCAGTCCACAGTGAAGGATTGGATAAGTTAAATGAAAGCCAAAAATATACTTTGCTGCAGGCTCCACTGGGAACTGACTCATGAATATGCAACAAGTGTATTTATGGCCTTCCCTATACACCTCCCTCTTATTCTCTACTAATCAAAAGACAGGACTGTCTCACAGGGTCTTTGGACCCTGGCATGGAATAGTGGTTACAATGACTTCTCTGCGTAGGTGGAGTGAGGGGAAATTAAGAGAAGCTGCCCCATAGTGGTGAACTTGGGTTAAAGAAAGCAGTGAGCCCTGGCCAGTTCGAGTGTCGGCCTGCGGACCAGGGAGTCCCAGGTTCAGTTCCCACTAAGGGCACATACCTCGGTTACAGTTCGTCCCTGGCCCCGGATGGGGTTGTGTGGGTGGCAACCAATCAACGTGTCTGTCTCTCTCACATTGATGTTTCTCTCTCTCCCTCCCACTCTATCTGAAGATAAATGCAAAAATATCCTCAGGTGAGGATGTAAAAAAACACAAAGCAGTGAGCATACAGTGAAGCAAGTTGTGGTCTGTGGTAATAGGAATATAGGTTTAAAAAATGTATGTATGTATGTATATATGTGTGTGGGTTATATACATAATCACACAAAACACATACATATGCACACATATATGCACAGCATCTTTTTATTGTGTGTGTATACACAGATAAAATCTTTAAGTATTTCTGCTATGACGTTGGGCAGAGTGCCATGCAGACCTCGAGGCAGGGCAGGACTTACCGGGATCTGCTGGATCTCTCCTGTGTTTGTGATGATCTGCTGCATCACCTGCATGGTCTGTCCAGTGCCACTCTGGGCCTGCTGGGCTTGACCCTGCGGCTGGGCCTGGACAATCTGCACCTGCTGACCTTCTCCAACCTGCATGGTCACTGGTGTGGTCTGGAAAGAAGTCAGGAGAAAGGTGATGGAGGTCTGGCTCAGAGTCAGTAGGCTTACCAAGGGGTTAATAACCAGTGGGTAACTGGGAGCAAATCCTCTTCATAAATGCCTGAAGTCATCTCAACACTAACAATACTACTCAACCTGCACAGTCCTTTGGGCTTAGAGCACTGTGAAAGCCACTCACCAAAAGTAAAAGATGAAAAAGCCCAACAGATTTTTAGGCTCATAGTACTACATATGTGTCCAGGCCCAAAACATCTCTATGCTTTAATGTTGCAACTCTTCACAGCAACTTTTCACAATGATAATAAGGCACATTATGGTACAAAAGAATCAAAAGTAACCACAACAGTTCACTTGAGAAATGGCCAAAGTCAAGTCTGGAAGGGATGAATTTGGAGGGCAAACTAAATGGTAAGTGGGGTCCGTGTGAATTTACTAAATTCAGAATCCTGAGTTTCTTCTTAGGCTTTTGAGACATTGGAAGGAAAATAAAGAGCACACTGGTTTTCACCCCCACTCAAGCAGCAGAGCGACCCAGCCCACAGTGGCCAGCTGGCTGCTCTAGATCGCAGCACAGCTAGCCACGGGAAAGGTGAACTGGTGAGTGCACTGGACACCGGACACGTAACTCCTGGATCTTAACTGAGACTACCCCTACATAACAAAATTTGATAAAGCAAGCATTTTCATTTTCTGGAAACCGGAATCTCAGATTTAAGAAATTTGTCTAATGTATATGACTTGGCAGATTCTGTGTCTCACACACACTTAGTAGACTGTAGGCCTATGAAACTTACTCCTTTGAGAGACTTGAACAAGATTTGAACTGTCAAAAGGATCAGTTGGTCATTTCTTTACATTTCAAAACTTTAGCCCCAGATGTGACCTTTCAACACATCTTGTTCATCTGGTGGTGGTAGGAGGTGGAGGGTGGTGGTGATAAGAAGGTGGAACCTTTTAAATCACACTAAACCCCAAAACCCCTGATTTGGATATGCTCTCTCCCACTTCAATAAGAGGACCCTGGGAGTCTCAAGGGATCATGGGCTTCAATCAACACTGTTATTCTGATGCTCTTTACTTTCTGACCGCAAAGGTCTGTTATGCATCTAAAATCACATGGGAAGGGGATGTGCCCTGGGAACTACAGATGACATTCAAGGAATTACAAGATAAGGAGAAATGACTATAAACTGGTGGAGCATAGGGAAGAAAGGTGACAGAGGGATCTATGAAGAAATGCACGCAGTGGGCTTGGACAACAGGAAACATCTATTTTCACACCACAGTTTTCAACTCAGCCTATTCTCCAAGCCTGCAGGAAAAGTTTCCAATTTTATGACAAAACATGGGATTCATTTTATCAAAATATGCTTTCCTTCCAACTTTAGTATGCATTCTGTTTTGCAAAGGTTATCTGCACTCAACTTGAAACAGCCATTACTAGAGGTTCAGGGATGTGCCACACAGCACAGGCCACCCTGAACCAGTAAGACAGTAAAATAGCAGCTACAACTTTAGGGGGGCCAACTTTACCATCCTCACAAGCCTTATCAGCTCCAAGCTGAGAAAGTTTGGGGTGACAGAGAAGAGGATACATGAAATTCTCGCTGACTAAAAAAATGCATACTGCCAACTCATCACTGTACTCTATCAACTCAATTTTCCTGAGAGGATTTCCAAAGTATTTCTCAATCATTTCAGGAAAACAAGGGCTTGTGTTAGCATAGCAGCTGTCAAATCACGTATGGTGTGCCCTGCTGTCAGGGCACAACAGCCATGAGCTTCTTAGGATGATCAGCCCATCAGAACCAGCCCTTAGCAGACTCCCTTGAAGTTCGCTCTATAATGGAATAAAGCCTTTGGCAGGTAAAGCTCTCACTACTGCAGATGCACAAGCAAGAGCCAAAGGAGGTCCCTTAGGCATCACAGTGCAATGGACTCCTTAAGGCAGGGCCTGGGCTGCAATCATCTTCGAACCCCTCCTGCCTAGCATGGTGCCTGGCAAAGACCAAGCAACTAATAAATTTCTATTACATGGATAAAAAATGAGCAGGGAATGAGGAATAAAATCATAATTATATAATTTAAATCTACCGCTACTCCAATTTTTTATATTTTTTTAAACCTCATCCAAGGATATTTTTCCATTTATCTTCAGATAGAATGGGAAGGGCAGAGAGAGAGAGAGAGAGAGAGAGAGAGAGAGAGAGAGAGAGAAACAGAGACATCAATGTGAGAAAGACACATCAATTAGTTGCCTCCCACACGAGCCTGACCAGGGCCAGGGACAAACAGCAACCAAGGTATGTGCTCTTGACCAGAATCAAACCTGCGACTCTTGGTCCAAAGTCCAACACTCTAACCACTGAACTAAACCGGCCAGGGCCAATTTTTTTTTCTTTAGGCAAACCCAGCTCCTTACTAGAATACCTAGAGGTTCCCTGTGCTGCACCCTTTCCCCATTGCCTTGTGCTACTTCTCATCTCCAAGTCTTTGCTTATGCTGAGCCCTCTACTGGGAAAGCCCTCTTTCCCCATTTTGATTCATTTCCATTACTCCTTCTAAAACTCATGATTGCCTTAATGGAACCTGCTCTGACATCCTCTTCTACCACGCCCCCTCACATCTTTGTTAGGTACCCCTTTTGATACATCCCCATATCCTTTACATATCCTAAGAATATCTTACACTTCCCACATAGTGGTAAAATCTTTAAGTATTTGCAGCCCCAACTAGATTGTGAATTCTTAAAAATAGGGAGTCTCTGACTCATGCTTGTGTCCAACACATAGCATAGGACTTTACCTACAGAGGATGACAAATGTTTGATGAACAAATAAATGACAGACAAGGAATTTGGATTGAGCTCAGAGAACAGAGATTCCCAACAACTGTAGACAGTACTGCTCTAACAACTGTACTGGGGAGAGAAAGAATCTTCTGATTACTATTGTAAAATGAGGTCACTTGACACAAATATGGTAGGACACAGAAATGATGGGGAGAAGAGGACAGGTATGCATGCCTGACCTCCCCCTCAAGTATACAAATTCCAATTCTGGTGTAGACACACAGACAGCAGGCATGGAGTTCACTTAAAACACCTTCTACAAAGATGCCACCACTCTTCATGGGGACATTATACAGTTTTTTATTCTAAAACTTTTTTTTTTAATCCTCATCTGAGGACTTTTTGCATTCATCTTCAGATAGAGCGAGAGGGAGAGAGGGAGGAGAGAGAGAGAGAAACATCAATGTGAGAGAGACACATCGACTGGCTGCTACCCACACAACCCCAACCGGGCCTGGGGACAAACTGCAACCAAGATACATGCCCTTAGCGGGAACCAAACTCAAGACATTCTGGTCCGTGGACCGATGCTCTAACTGCTGAGCCAAACCAGCCAGGGCTAAAACCTTTTTTTAATATATTTTTTTCCTTTATTGATTTGAGAGAGAGAGAGGAAGTAAGAGGGAGAGAGTAATAGAAACATCGATGAGAGAGAACACTGGCTGGCTGCCTCCTGCATGCCTCGCACTGGGGATCAGGCCCACAACCTGGGCATATGTCCTGACCGGGAATCGAACTGGCGACCTCCTGGTGCATAGGTCGATGCTCAACCACTGAGCCACACCGGCCAGACAAAAAAACTTTTTAGCTCATAAGGATCCTGAGGAAAATCTTGTCCACTATACTTTGCTTATTTTACCCATGAGAAAACCAGGGCCCAGAGATTAGGTGACAGGTCACCTCAGGGGCTGAGTCTGGGGGAGAGCCCAGGTTTCCAGACTTCAAATTTAGTGTTCTATAATGATCTGAGTACCTCTTTGCTCTGGTCAAACTTTTGCCACCCCAATCCTAAGAAGTATTTATTATCTTGCTGGCAGGCACCCTCTGCAGCTCACAGACCTGGCCCTGCTGAGGTTGCGCAATGATGATCTGCCCAGGCTGGATGGTGGTTGTTGAGCTGGTGGTCTGCTGGCCTTGCTGCTGCCCCTGGACTTGGACGGCGGTGGGCTGCTGAGCCAGCGTGAAGTAGTACTGGACAGGCTCAGCAGGAGTCACAGACTGGCGCACCTCCTCCTGTGGGGTAGAAGGAGAAGCAGGTAAGAGGAAAAGAACCGACTCAGCAGCCGGCAGAGTGAATTTCCATTCTTCCCCCAAACGGCTCTTTGCAGTTGCCTGCTGAATGCTGAGCTCTCCACATTTGAAGCCAAGAGAAAGTGGAATTCAAAGAGACCAGTTGTGTTAAATCAAACTAAAAATAACAGATTCCATAGGTTTCACAAAACTTACAGCCAATTTCTGAAGTACAGAATTATCACCTACTGCGTGATGAGTTGCAAATGGGCAAATATTTACCATTTCTAAAAGCCACGCACTAGCAGTGCTTGTCAGTAAATGCTGTCAAGGCTTGTGAAGACAGTGCTGATTGCGAGCACCAGAAGATGCTTCCCATACATCATGCTCTCAGGCCAGTTCCCAAACTCCCAAACAGGCAGCGCTCGCTTTATTTTGTTCTCACCATTTCAGGAGGGACAGAGCAGGGGAAAGGGACATAGGGCATTTCCTGGGCTGAAATTTCAGAATCAAACGTTACGATTGAGAGCACCAGTAGGCAAGTGCCGGCTTTTCACAGCACGTTAAGAGCACAGTAGTCACTGAGGGCCACATCTATCCAGTGTCACATCTGGTTCTGGTTGTACTTAGCCACAGAAGAGCAACCCAGGGGGCCTGAGGGACAGCTCTCCGCTGGGTGCTGCCTTGGCTGACTAGGGAGGTCGCATTCTGTCCGATCTGCTGGGTGAAGAGTCTGTTCCTTCTTCAGCTGACGTTTTCCATGGCAGAAGGAGTAAACAACCCTCTCCCAGCCACCTTGAGCTCACAGCTGAGAGTGTAGGATGTTTACACACACTACGGCATGGTTATAGCCAGAGGGTCCAGGATTGGTCGGCCCCTGACCATTGACAGAGATCGGCATCTGCTCCGGAGGGCCCTGTGACACACGGTGCCCCTGCCTGGGACAACAAAAACAACAGAAACATACAACTTGGGCTGGCTGAGCAAAAAATTAGCTAAACTGACTCACTCCCTTGTTGTGGGCTAAGTTTGCCAGGTTCGAGAAAAGAGGAAAAGACACTTCTTCAAGGTATAGAGGCCCTGTGAATTGCCTCAAAGCTCCGTGAAGTGACATTTACAAAGCTGGTATTGACTCCATCCCACTAGGTCAGGTGCTCTAATCTGTGCTCCCACAGTCCTTTTCTCATTACACTTTTCTGTCCTTGCTTGTTAAACTAACTGCTTTCCCATGAGGACAAAGCGTAGCTCTCTCTTGTTCTCCACTATCCCTACTATTCACTCCCTTGTAGGCACCCAATAAGCATTTGCTAAATGAGAATGGATTTATAGAGCCAGACAGACAGTTAGAGACAGGAAACATTTTATTGCACTTTGCTTTATTGCACTTCCCAGGTGCTGAATTTTATTTATAAACTGAAGGCAAGACCCTCCACCAGCAAAAAGATTACAACTCATTTTATGGAGATATTTGCTTTATTACAATGGTCTGTAACCAAACCCACATTATCTCCCAGGATGCCTGTACTCGCTTTATTGTGGTGATTGGGAACTGAACCTGCAATATCTCCGAGGTATGTCTGTACATTTTTTTAATCCAAGTTGGTAGTGGGGCAAGTTCTCTTGAACACAACAGCTTAATAGGAAAGAGTCCCTAAACTCTTTTTGCTAACTCTAGGATTGTGTGGTCTAGTGCAGGGAGAAGCTCATGTCCCTTGTAGAATAGGGCTGGGTATTAATTTGCTTCCCTGGTGACTGGGGGGCCCAGGACACTAAAACTAGAACTGCTAATATATAGCCTATGACAGACTTGGGTCTCTGAATGGCCAGGCTCCCGAATGGCCATCCACCCAGCCTAGGCAGACACTTCTAACATGCTGGGTTTCTGAACTAGTCCTCATACATGAACCAATTTCTTAGGTTAATGTATTCTGTGCTTCAGACCAAAACAGTGTGAACTCTGATGTGATCACGCGGAGGCAGAAAAAGAGGAGGTCCCCTTTTATTTTCATCTAGGTCTGTTTCCAGAACAACTTAACTATGACAATGTCACCTTCATTTCAATTCCAACTTCTTACCATTATAAATAAAGATCAGTCTTGTCAACTAGATCTCAGCTGTGGCAGGGATAAAATGCTGATACCCTCCTTAGCCATGAAACTGCTCTTTTTCAAAGCTCTTGAAATGAGTTCAATGTATTTATTTTCCACTGAGATCTCCCTGCCCACTTTCTCAGACCTAACTTGAAAAAGCTTTTGAGTGATGAGAAGGTTTAGAGGACCGAGAGCCCTCAAAACGAATTTGTAGGAAGTAAGGAGGTAGGGAGACTGGCATTTCCTAGCCTGACCTGTGACTGTTCTGTATCCTATTATCCCTGACTGCAGCTGATATACAAGTGAATATGGTCTTTATGTCAGACAAAAAGCAAACCCTTTAAATACCCCTTTCAGAAGCCAAAATACCCCTTGCCAAAAGCTGAGAACAGGTGAAGAGCTTCTCCTATGCTGCCTACAATAACCTCCTAACTTGTTTATGAACCAGGCAGTGCCTAGGACACTCCGAGCAAGTTTGTGCTGTGAGGAGGGCATGCCTGTTCTCAATCCACTGGAATGGAAGGAGGTATATCTAAGGTTCTTCAGCATTATGAAGATTCATTTGGCCAATGGAGGTCAAGCTAGCAAGGAAATGATTATGCTTGGTTTAAAGAGATGGGTGAAAAGAAATGATATTTCAATGGGCAGAAACTTTCAACTCATAGCTTTTGTGGGGTAGAAGACAGGCCTCAACTATCTTCCGCTTTCAAATAGTTTTTATTTGCTTTCCCAAAGAACAAGAGGAATTCCCAAGCATCTGTGAGAAGTCAAGGGCCTTAGATTCCCAACTCAATGTCTGTGGCTAGTTCCTTTCCCCAGCAGTGGAACATCATCCCCGATGCTAGAACAATCTCGGAATGACTAGATCAATCCAGAACGAGTTACTTGCCAGCTTTAGCTGTGGCCCCACCCCCAACCAGAGGGTTTGCTCTTAGAATGTGTTCAGAAGTGGAGACTGACAAACAAAGCCAGAGAATAAGCAGCATCACCTCCTAGGGCCCATCAGTGTTGTGCAGCCAGCCACAGACTGGAAAAAAAGTAGTCGTTTCAGTAGCAAGAGTGAACTGCTACTGCTTCAGAAAGGGTGGATTTTGGAGAGTAGATGCTTTTAAAGGACTTAAGGAGGTGCCAGCCAATTTGGAATTTGGGAAAAACTCATGCCTACAGAAGATTAAGTGCTACCTTAGAATTTCAGGTCAGCTTTCAGCAATCTCAACCTTTCAAAGGCCAGGCAGCAGCTGTCCCAAACAGGATGCCAATCAATGGCTTGAAAACCTACAAAGAACTGAGTCCAGACAGCAAGGAGCTGTTTCAGCTAGACACACTTTAAAAAGAGATGAATCACAGCATTTGAGTCACAGTAGGATGGAACAAGGAGCTGTCTGACACCCTAAGAGAGCCAAGCAATGAGGATTTTTGAGGAAGGGACAGGACATGACCCTTCTCTCCAGCCAGTTGGTTCAATAGCCAGCCCACAGAGAATAAGCAGGAGTTAGCACAAGGAGCATGAGCAAGGCCAGATTTTGTCACAGAGCTCACCACTTGTTTGTAAAGGGGGCTTCTGAAACAAATTCCAACAAAAGCATGTGTGTTGTTATCGTTTGTTTTGAAGGAAGAGAAGTGGTCTGAGTTCTTGTTGTAGTGACTTCTCAGAGAGGAGGGAAGCACCCCAAGAGGAGGAATGGAGCCCATGGAAACTAACCTGCAATGTCTCAAAGGCGATGCGCAGCCGGGGACGACTGTGGCAGCCTGCCGCTGTAAACATCCGACTGAAAGCTCCTCTGAACACCTTACAGCTTCCAGTCAAGGATGTTTACAGTAGCAAAGACTGCCCAGAAAGAACGGAGACGCAGTGAGGCTCCCTGCTCTAGTAAGGAGGTGACAGAGGGCTTGCTAATCCAAAGGCCCCCAGGCAGGGTCAGGATTATAAATGTCCTTTAAGACGCCCACTCTTCCTGCACTTTCTGACTGGTTATTAATATGAGACAGCATGGGAGTCACTGAATGACCCTGTTTTTAAGGATAATATACTATGAAATAATTCATTAAAACCACTTAAAATTTTATTAAGAAAACAAAACAAGCAGAACAAGGCACAGCATTGCTCCTGCCAGACTCTGCCACTACCCCCCAACTGTCTCCACTACACCTGGTGAGTCCCATAATCTGTGTGCCTGAAACAATGGGTTATATGGGGTAGAGGTCTACTACAACAGCAATTAAGAGATTTATGCACCCAAGGTGCTGAAAAAAATAAGCAGTGTGACCTTTGGAGAGGGGCAGGTAGAAGAGAGGGAAAGGCAGGCAAGCAGACAGACATTCACATTCTTTCTTGTCATTGCTTAGAAAATGGTCTAAGTGGTAGTTCTCAAATTTGGTTGCATATTAAAAGCATCTGGGGAGTTCTAAAAAGTACTGATGTCTGAGCTTCCCCCTCTCAGACTCTGATTCAGCTGGTGTGGGGTGGAGTCTGGGCACTGATAGTTTTTAAACCCTAGCAGGTGACTCTAATATGTAACTATAGCACTATGTAGAGAACCACAATCAAGAGTAAGAGAAAACCAAAGTCCACTCACTCCAACCACCACTGTGCAAATAAGAGAGGGTGTTTCTTGAAAATCTAAAATCTGTAACTCACTGGGTATATTCTCCCATCCCAGATTAAGAACTCTGATAGAGTTCCTAGGATACCTTGAAATGAGCGTCACTGTGTATAAACAAAGTCTTTAATTTTAACTTTGTCTATTTTCACTGAAATACCACCTCAGCGGCACTGAGTCAAAAGTATCCATAAATGAGCAGCAAAAGATGTTAAGGATGGACCTGGTCTAGAGAAGAAGCAAAAGAAATAGCTAATGACTTGTGCTGAGACAGGAAAAGGAACATTATTTGACACCCATATGCAAGGTGCTCTTCAGCCAAGAGCAGCAGCTATGCCTTCCCAGCTCACCTGACGCTTTGGAGGTTTCAGTTCATCTCTTGGAACAATATCGATGAGAAAGTCAAACTGATCGAATTTTGTAATTGCCATGGCGATATCATTCCTCTGTAACAAAGAAAAGCAAGGTGAAAAATTAGCCTGGGGAGAAACTAGTTCACCTGGCTTTATACCCTCCAAGTTACAAGAGAAGACGATGACTTCTAAGCCAAACTAAGTACCCATGGCCAAGTCTATAGCTGAAATAAGCACAGCTAAACTCTTACAAACTTCAAATGATCAGACTTGTTGGAAAGATACCTACAAAATCAACAAAAAAGAGCTATCTGTAGCTCCTGCTCCACAAACCAAATATTCAAGCCTCCAACTACTACTGCCTCTGCTGGATTCTGCCCCAACGTCCTTCCCATGATTTGTTAAATGATTATCCTCCAGCTAAAATTATACAAACCTAGCAATCTCAAATGGCAGGTTTCTGGTCATTATGTGGTTAGCAAGGTTAGGCTATCATTTGATTTTATAATCTTTTTAAGACACTAAATAATATTTTACCTCTTTGGTTCACAAGTAAAAATCTATTTTGGATTTTCTGGCTGAAATCCCCATTCAATAACTTTCTGCAGTATTTTCTAGTTACTGATCTGTATCTTGGTTTCCAAAAAAAAAAACTATAATTTTAATTTTGGAATTCAAAATTGTAATGTAAAATCCACGATTTAAATGTTGTGCAATGTGATATAAATACTAGAAGTCTAAAGTTACTAGAATAGAGACCGTGGTGGGCAGAGAACATAGAAGTCGGTTGACTAATGATATTGAAACCAAGGCCTGCTCCAAAGGGGTTCTTTCTAAGAGTGACACTCCCTTTCTTTACATAATAAAAATTTTAAAAATATATATATATATATTTTTTTTTTTTACTAAAAACCAACACACTAACATCGTATGAAAATGTAGAAAAAAAGAAAAAGATAAAATAAGGGGAAAGAATGCGCTCTGATGAATGATATGCATGTTGAAGTATTTACGGAAAAGGAAACTATGAAATTCATTTAAAAACAGATGACTTGATGAACAGATCGGGGGATAGGCAGATAAAACAGGTAAAATCTTAATGGTAGGATCCAGGTGGTAAGTATACAGGTGTTTACTATAAACTCTGCTTATGTACAATTTTTTTCATAATAAAATGTTGGGGTGGGGGAGAAGCCAACCTACCAACAGAAATCCTTAGCAACCGCTATATATCACACCTTAAGAGAAGGTGACTCATCACACAAAATAGGAGGGGATGGAAAATTTCTGTTTTTTCCTTCCCTTGTCTGTGATGGCCCCAAGCCACTGAAATGCAAAACTCCAGTCCACCACTCTTGCCAACCACCAGCTTGATAATAAACCCATCCTACCGAAGCAGGGCGCATCTTAAAGCTGCCAGGACTCATTTAAGATTAGTACGATACAGTATCACATTCTTGATGATGTCACCTACTCAAAGCTATCTAAACGGCTCATCTAAGGATGGAATGAGGAGGGGTGGGAAGAAAAGAAATAATAATCACCTTCAAACATACACCAAAGTATTCTACAGTATTTTGGAAACATAGATGCACTTAAATCGGTCTTTTTAAATTTTAAATTTTGTCTTTTTAAGTTCTAGTATTTTACTAAATTATTATTACTCATATTCAGTAAGATACAGAAATCTTAAATACACAGCTGGAGCCCTGGCCAGTTTGGCTCAGTGGTTAGAGCGTCGGCCTGCGGTCCGGAGAGACCCGGGTTCGGTTCCCGCTAAGGGCACGTACATTGGTTGCAGTTTGTCCCCGGCCCTGGTTAGTCGTACGGGTGGCAGCCACTCGATGTGTCCCTTTCACGTCGATGTTTCTCTCTCTCTCTCCTTCCTCTCTCTCCCTCCCACTCCATCTGTACAAAAAATGGAAAAATATCCTCGGGTGAGGATAAAAAAAAAAACAAAAAAACCCACAGCTGGATGAATTTTAATAAATATATACACCCAGGTAGTGATCACCTGGATAAGAATATAAAAAGTTTCCTTCCAGCCAATTATCACCCCCACTCCCCAATCTGAGGTAACCAAAACTCCTATTTCTATCACTATGGACAATACATGGTATCATGTGCTATATAATTTTTTTATCTGTTTCTTTTGCTTAACATAATATTTTTGAGATTCATCCATGTTGCTGTATGGATCAATAGTTTGTTTCTTTTATTGATAAACAGTAATTAATTTTATGAATATATCAATTTTTTATATATTCCTACTTTGATTTTAGTCATTCTGGTGGGTATAAACCAGTATCTCACTGTGGCTTTACTTGTTTCCCAGGTGATAAATGATGTTATATACCTTTCATATGCTTACTGGTCATTTGGTATCTTCATTTTTGAAGGGCCCATTCAAGTGTTTTGCCCAATTTATTTTTTAATCTTAACTGCTCTTAAAGGTAACTTCAACCAGCTCTCTAGATCTACAGTCTTCCTTCAAGTCAGCCATAAAGTTCTCAATGTCTAACTGCACTAGAATGTAGGCTTCCCAGGGGTGGGGATTTCTGTCTGTTTTGTGTATTAATCCCCAGAGCCTAGAACATTGCTCAGCACACATTGGGTGTTCAATAAATAATTGCAGAATAAATAAATCCATGCATTTTCAACTTTGGAGGTAAGGGGAAACAAAAGGAGAAAACATAATTTACTTTCTTGGCTTTGTTATTAAAATACTATCACTGTCTTACACCTGTCACACCCTTACTCTTATGTCTGAGAAATGTTACTTCAAGAGCTAGGGCCTAGTTGCTGAGGGGAGAGCCTGTAGAGCCAATGACTAAGGGGTTTGCATACAATATGAATGTTGGTTTACTGGATTAAAATATAAAGAGAACAAAAAACAGGATGAAAAGAATTCCCAGGAAAGCAGATAAGGAACAAAAAGGCTAATGAGGTCAGTAAAACGGATTCTTCTTGGGATTACTCTTTCCTGAAATCTCTTAAGGCTTCCAAAGAGAAGTTGTTTACATCTGGAAATAGATAAATATCACTTTAGTCTCTGTTTATAGCCAGGAGTCACCAAGTGAACAGTTAAGTCACTGAGCTGTAAAAACCATAAGAGAGTTGGAAATTAAAATGCTTTGCCCCGGATGGTTTGGTTCAGTGGTTAGAGCATCAGCCCGCAGACCAATGAGTCTCAGGTTCGATTCCGGTCAAGGGCACGTACTTCAGTTGTGGTTCAGGGTCATGCGAGAGGTAACCAGTCGACGTATCCCTCTCACGTTCATGTTTCTTTCTCTCTCTCTCTCCCACTCTATCTGAAGATAAATGGAAAAATATCCTCCAGTGAGGATTAAAAAAAAAAAATGTTTCACGGAGAAATACTATCATGGTTATAAGGTATGCCTGCCTCCTAACAGTAGAGGAAGATAGATGCCAATTACACATGTCAGCTTAAGGAAAAACAATCTTTGGTCTAAAGCCATGCAAGAGAAGCAGGCAAAAGCAGCTGCTTGCCCAGTTTTCCCAGGGTAGGTCTACATTACCTGTAGAGTCCGGCGCTTGTTATCCTCTGTGTGGATCCAGGCTCGAAGAGTCAACTCTGTGATAAAAATCTGGGCTGCCTTGGCAAAGAGTACAGGGGCTTCTGCACTGATCATCTGCAACAGATGTAGGCCCTGTCAATCACCAGCAAGTCATTCAAACCAGTTAGTTTGTCCCTTACCTCGTGTCCTGCTATTAGACTATGGGGCAAGGGTTTGAAAGTGAGCCTCAAGAGTCTCCGAGGTAAAATAAACCCACAAGTAGGAACAAAGTAGGTAGAAGAAAAGAGGAAGAAGGAATACTTATCTAGCACCTACCACGTACTTTCTTACTCTCATAATAGCCTTTTTGAGAAGCTAGGGTTTAGGAGAAGTGAAATAACTTGCCCAGGGCCATACAGCCAGTTAAGTGGTATAATCCAAAGTGAGACAATGTGGGGAAAATAATGAGTTTGAAAGCCATCCTTTTGAGCTTTATTTTTTACATGCTGAAAAAGAGGATAACCTTCCAGTGCTATCGTGGGAATCAAATGAAAAAACATATGCAAAAGAACCCAGCACAGGACATGGAACATAGTAAGTGCTCAAGTAATGAAAACTCTTGGTCAAACAAGGCTCTAAACCCCATAGAGGTGGTCAATACAGGATACAGCGATTGGAAGAACTCTGGAATTAAGGAACCAGGAGATGAGTGTTGAGTTCTTGGTTTTCCTACACTGAGTCACTTTTAACCTTTTTGTATATTTCCATATCTATATAATAAAATTAATAACTCTTATCCTATCAAATCTCACAGGAGGAATGAAGAGAAGGGAAGATTGCTGTAAACTGTTAGCTCTCTATACAAATACAAGAAACTATTAATTTTAAGTGGTAGAGAGAGTTGTTTTTTTTGACAATTGTAGTAGGTGGTAGGCTCCTAGGAACACAGTAGCGGCCCCATCCAAGTAAACCCACTCACAAGTATTATTCGTGTAAAACAACTCACAGATATAATATCATTATCAAACATTTCTTAGAGCTCAGATCAATACACTAAAAACTGTAATAAGATGCTAAGAAGTTGGCACTGTCCTGCTGATTTGATGCTTCATGTTGACACTACATGCTGAAAAGAACTGAGTGATTAAAAAAGCACTCAGCACCTTTTCAACATCTAGAAAACAGGATATCCCTAATTTTCAGAAAAGCACCATACAATAATTAAAACTGTTCAATTTCGGCTCACTTAACAATTTTACAAGGAACCAAATTAAAAAAGCAACAGACAGTAACAATATTTTCACTTTTTTAAATTAAACTTTAAGCTCTAGAGAAATGAGCAATAACCTACCCATCATTTTAGCTTCAATATAAATAAATAAAAATGAATGTGAATTCACCTTCACATCTTCATCCAATTTCATAATCTTCTTAATACGAGCCAGTGGGAGTTCCTGTACTCGGAAATCTTTCTGAAATGAGTAACAAAAGGTGCATAAATGGTGGGGACAATTAATAGGGCAAGACAGGCATCAGGAAGCACACTGATTGGCCTAGTCCCTCCTTTCAGAAAACATGGCAGGAGAGAAGGTACAGATGAAATAAAAATACAAGCTCCAGAGCAAAATTCTTCTTAACCCATGCAGAGCTTTAAACAAAGAGTTTCAGGATAAACTTATGATGGCTTCTAACAGTGCCCTCATGAAAGGTAGCCCCAAACAATACCAGATTCATTGCCAGCACAATATAGAGGTGCATTATGAGCGTCTTTTTCTTCCCAAGAAAACTTGGCAGTATGCCACATGCTGATTAAAATGAGATTTTTGCCTCAGGAGCATTCACTCCTCTGAGTTGCCAGTTTTTTCTTCTATTAGGGGATTACAAGAGCAAGTGCTAGCAGCACCTGACCACACTGACCCCCAGTTCTCTTCAGCCACTGTGATACTGGCTATTTCTGACCTTTGCACTAACCTGACACCAGAAATTGGGGAGGAGCTCCTTTCCCATGACAGTAGCAAAGGGTGTGTTTCCAAAATCAACTTATGGCCTGGCTGGTGTGGCTCAGAGGTTGAGTATCAACCCATGCACCAAGAGGTCACTGGTTCAATTCCCAGTCAGGGTACATGCCCAGGTTGTGGGCCAAACCCCCAGTGGGGGGCATGCAGGAGGCAGCCAATTGATACTCTCTCATCAATGTTTCTATCTCTCCCTCTCCCTCAAATCAATAAAGAAAACAAACAAACAAAAAACAAAGTCAGCTTATAGGGCGGGGGTGGGTTAAAAGAGGATGAAAGAAGAGTGAGGGTAAATTTATCAGCTGACTTTTTGGAATAGCCTGGCACTTTTTTTCTTAACAAACAAGACTAGGCTGGGAGTAAATCATATCAACTTCTGTGAATAGGATTTAGAAAGGGCTTTTTGACCAGCACTACTTAATTACTTGTGATTAAGCCCTTTTTTGTTGTATTTTGACACTATTGGTATTCCAGAGCATGCCCAATGATGAATGCAATCCTAGAAATAAAAATCAATTCTGGGTTTCAGAGCTGCAATGGAGAGAAACGTGCAAAGGCACAGATTAGCTAAAATCAGCAAACTCCCTGCTGGGACTAAGTGTCAAATGGTTGATTCTATAAGTGGTCTGAAATGTGACTCACACCAAATCCAATATGTTCACCTGGGAATCTGCATCATGACATTCTGGAAAGAGAAACTATTATTTGAAATTTGGTATAATTAAAACTGTGAACTTGCTTTTCCAAGACCAACAGAAAACCTCAACTGTATGTCAAAGAAGGGTGTATTTTGGAAAAACATAAATAGCTTTCCCAAAATCCATTTTATAATTATAGAAAGAAGAACAACTATTAGGATAAAATGCACACAAAGATACCTAACTTCCTCCACACAAACCCAGCAAGCTGCTTGGCTACCAGCTACCACTCACCTCTACAAACTTCCACCTCCAATTTTCCATCTTTTCCTTTTTCAAATTAGGTGTCAACATTCCATTAAGCCTCTACTAAAACTAACCCTGGAGTGGCAGAAATTTAGAAGTCCAGTTTATTAAAATTTCACCAAAAGGAGAACAGGACACATTCTATTCTTTATTTTTTTCTCCTCTTTCATTTACTCATCCATGTAACTCAACTAATATACCTACTACTATGTGAAAGATGAAAATCTATTCTTACTTTTGAACAGCTACCTTATAGTTTAATTGTTAGAGAATGTCACATAAAAACATTATAATCCCCAATCCTATACTAGAATAAGGGTATAAAATCCCACAGAAACAAAGAAGAAAATAGCCAGTTGGCAATGGCGTGTTGGAGTGAGCAAGAGGAGCTGGCAAATGTTCCACAGAGGGGCTGACATCTGAACTGTGTATAAGGGATGCTACAAATTTGCTTGTTGGAAAAGTATGAGAATTCATATTCAAACAGAGGGAACAGCATGCGCAGAAGCAAAGAGACACAAAAAAACACTGCCTATTTAAAATTTAGATATATGACCTTTTACAGAGGGGAACAACACAAGAGAGAATGCTGAATTGAGGCCAGACCCTAAAGGGATTTAAAAAACAAAACAAAACATTTACCACAGAAATCAATCACTGGTTTTCCTTCTTGTGTGGCATTATCACAGAAAATGATGATGCTAAACAGAAATGCCAAAGAAAATGTTGGGGATGATCTTTCCTTTGGAAGGCCTCCCAGGATGATACACACAGCACAAGATTATGACCATAAGATTTAGCTCTCTTACAAGTGTGCTCTCATTTGACTTGGTTAGTGAATATAATTTCCATAAGATTGTTCTAAGATTACTTAACCAAAGCCCAAAACTGATAAAAAGACCTCCTTCCCAAACTTGAAAGAGTAAAATATCACTTTTAGAATTTCTTTGAGACTAGTCTTTAATCAAAAGCAACAAGAAAGGGTCAAGGATAAAGCAGATTCTCAGAACATCCCTACCTTGGAGAGGTATAAAATGAGGCAGAAATGTACAAAAAATCTCTGCTCTAAGCCCCACCCAACCCTTTCTTTTGTGAGAAACTTTCTCATCACCCCCAAACTTTGAGCTCTCTAGGGGCAGTACGTGAAAGTGGATCTTCAGATGTGTGTGTGTGGTTCATTATTACTGACAATAGCCCAGTTTTCTATAATCTCATCCTAGCTTTCTAGTCACATGTAAGGGATTACGATAAGTTTATTGGAGAGGGGAGCCCCTTCATTATCAGTAGGCTGAGGTCCCCTAAATTGGCTTTCAATTCAATGTTCCCTCCTTCACCATTGGCAACAATGCAACTGATGTGTTAACTTCTCCTGATGCTGATTCAAGTGCAAGACAACTGAGACAGACTGATTCTTTCTACTCTTGGTAGTGTTATAAGCAAGGTGGAAAAGCAGATTCGCTCTCAGAATGTTTCCCACAATGTAAGAACTACATTAAAAATACTGTCATCTGAACCTGCTGAGTTTTGAGAAGTCTGAGTTCACTCAATGAGAGTTCAGAACCAAAGAAAAGTCAATGGATCTCAGGCTGCACTAAAGAACATCCCGAGTTTCAAATAATAATGAGAAATCTTTTCCAGGCCTACCCAGTCAGACACTCCAGCAAAGACAAGATTGAATTCTCTCAAAAGCAGTGATTCTCAACCTTGGCTGCATGTTAGAATCACCTTTTGAAAAACAAGACGCCGGGGCTCTACACCCAAGACTAACTGAATCAGGAATTCCTGGCATCACGTTTTGTGAAAACTCCCCTGGTGACAATAATCCACAGTGAGGGTTAAAGGACACTGCAGCTTTTAAAGCCTTACTACTCAAAGTGAGGTCCATAGACCAGCAATGGTTTCACCTGGGAACTCAGAAGAAACGCAGAATCTCAGTCTCTGCTCTAAACCTACTATATCAAAATCTATGTTTGAACAAGATCCTCATGTGGTTCATTAGACAACGAAGTTTGAGAAGCACTGCTACACAGGAAGGGCTCAAACAACACAGGACCTGTTTTATAACAATGCACCAACCTTCACCTCCAAGTTCTCGTTTTAAATGGATATCTGATTTGACTGTAATGTTAGAAATGCCATTGTCCAATCTGGAGGCACTAAGGAATGAAATATGTAACTGGTAAGTAAAAGAACATGACCTAGACATTGCATTACAGCTCATTAAAGGCTGAATTGTAGGGATTAAGTTAGGGGAGGATTAGATTTTTCTTTTTAAGATTCAGCGTTGTTGTTTGCCCACCTACCCGCCAAAAGACAAACTTAGCTTTTTCTTGCCCACTTTCAAAGAGGTCTAGAGGGATAAAATCCAATGCTATAAAGTCTGTCAATTATTGTTTCCAGAGCTTGCTGAACAGGAAGACAGCATTTTACACAATTATCCTTGTGTACAATCACTTTGGTATAATTTTTAACCAACTTCAATTCCAGCTGAATACCACCTGAATTTATGCACAATTACAGAGTAAAGAGAGTGTGATGGCCACACTAAGAGGAAAGATAAATTGCTTTTGCAGAACTAAGACCAAATGACTAGGGCCAGTATTTCCAAAACATCATGTAATACATATCACATAGCAAACTTCAATTACTTGTTTTTAGAATAATCTTTGTCCCAGTCTTAGAGACCACACCACCTTGTGATTATTTATGTTTGGCTAGTCCGAACACATGATTTTTTTTGGTTAATCCTCACCCAAGGATATTTTTTCCAATTATTTTTGGAGGAGGAGGGGAGAGAGGAAGCGGGGAAGAGAGGAACATCGATGTGAGAGAGATAGACATCAACTGGTTGCCTCCTACACGTCCCTGATGGGACTGGGGTTTGAACCTGCAACCCAGGTACCTGCCCTTGACTAGGAATCAAACCCGAAACCCTTCAGTGCTTGGGCCGACACTCTAACCATTGAGCAACACCAGCAGGGCTGAACATTGCATTTTTTAAAAATCTGTTACATAGATTGAGAGGTCAACCTAAGAAGCTCTAGCATGCCTGAGGAAGCCTGGTTATAAGTGCTATTGAGTTCTGGAGAGGCACAGACTAAATGCTAAAATATCTGACGTTCCACAGGCAGAGGTGCAGTCAAAGAAGCAGATGCCTTTATGTGTCATAGTGAGAGGCAGATGAATGAATAAATATACACATATATGGAATATTATTCAAACTTAAGTGAAATAAGCCCGTCAAAAAAGCCAGTCATAAAAAGATAAATACTATATGATCCCACGTATATAACGTATTTAAGACTGGTGAAATTCATGGAAACAAAGTAGAATGGTGGTTACCAGAGCCTGAGGAGAGGAGGAAATGGTAGTTGTTGTTTAATGGGTATAAAGTTTTAGTTCTGTAATATAAAAAAGTCCTGGAGATATGGTCCACAGCAATGTGAATGTATTTAACACTACTATTTATATAGTTAAGATGGGCCCTCTCGGGTCCTTGTTTCCAAGATGACCAAGAAAGAACAACGGTCATGCCAAAAAAGGCCGTGGCCATGTGCAGCCTATTTGCTGCACCAACTGCACCCGATGTGTGCCCAAGGACAAGGCCATTAAGAAGTTCATCATTCGAAACATAATAGAGGCCGCAGCTGTTAGGGACATTTCCGAACCAAGTGTCTTTGATGCCTATGTGCTTCCCAAGCTGTATGTAAAACTACATTACAGTGTGAGCTGTGCCATTCATAGCAAGGTAGTCAGGAATTCTTCTTGTGAAGCCTGGAAGGACCGAACACCCCACCCCGGTTTAGACCCGCGGGTGCTGCCCCACGACCTCCACCAAAGCCCATGTAAGAAGCTAAGTTCTTAATGACTGAAGAAAAGTTCTCTGGGAAAAAATAAATGGAAATTGTAGTTTGAAAATAAATAAATAAATAAATGGTTAAGATGGTAAATTTTGTTCTATGGTTTTTACTATAATTAAAAAAAAAAAATCAAAGCCCGACAAAATACAAAAAAGTTAAGTGCTGAGCCTGAATCTCCAGAGTTTCCCTGGCTACCTGCCTGACTTTGGATTTCTGTGTCTGTGCTCCACTGGAATGCAGACTTCTGTGCTGGCCCAATCCCACCATACCCTAGAAGGACACTAATTTTATATCAGGCTGACCCCAGCACTAAAACCTGATAAAGTTAACCAGGAGATTATCCCCTTAAAATATGAACAAAAGACCCCACTAATAATTATATAATTTCATTTTTTCCTCCCTTCTCTTTTATATCTGTGATAGTATAGATAAATCACCACCTTTAGACTGCAGAAGATAAACACTGGCTTTTCAGTGGAAATCCACATGTGAACACAGGCCACTCTGAGAAAGGCCAAGCCAAGTTCAACTTCTGGAAATCTACCATATAAACAAACATGACCCACAGGCACATCCAGAATATGAATTAGTTTTTACCCTTGAAGTCAGTGAACATTAATCACAATGAAAAGTTATTTTATTTTATTCATTCATTACTTATTTATTATGGTCTGTTTCCTCCACCAGAATATAGATTCTGTGAGTGCAATGATCTTATCCATCTGGTTCACTACTGGACCCACAGTACTGAGCAAAGCCACAGTAGGTACATAATGAATATTTATTGAGTGAACAAATAAACTGACCTTGTATGTCAGAGGTTAAAAGCCAGTAACTCTTAAGAAATTGCAACATTAGCTCTACATTAGGAAGGAACCCAATGTCTGCTCTGCCAAGATGCTAATACCTTCAGGGCAGGAATGACACCTCTAACTGAAATGACACCAAATGGAACATTCTTCACTAAGGACATGACGTTACACTCTGAAAAAATCCAATTCCAACCTGTCTCACCTCCTGCTACCACTGTTATACTCCTTAATCTTACCCAACCCCCACTATCCATATAGTAACCTGCAGCCACTCTGAACTTCTTACTGTTCCTCTCAACATAAGGCCCTCCCCTCTGGGCCTCCACGTCTTTACAAATGCCAGTCCTCTCTGCTGAACATATACTCTCCTACCCTTTCCATTTAGTGAATACTTACTAATATTTCAAGACCCAACAAAATGTCCTCATTAATTAGAGCCTTCCTATCTCAACCAGGAACAAGCACTTTTGACTTTTACTGCTTCAGACTCATCACTGTGCCTGACTCGGTAAGTACTTAATAGATACTTATTGAATAAATAACTCTAGTTATAATTACTAGACTGTAAATTCCCCAAGGGCCAGGGTTATATTGGATTCTTTTAAGTCAGCAATTCTCAACAGGGGATGATTTTAACCCCCAAGAGACATTTGCCAAAGTCTAGAGACATTTTTGATTGCAGCAACCGTCAGGAGGTAGGGAGAGTGCTACTGGCATCTAGTGGGTCAAGGCCAAGGATGCTGCTAAACATCCTACAATGCACAGGACAACCCTCACAACAAAGAATTATCTGGCTAAAACTGTCAATAATGCCGCTGCTGAGAAACTTTAATCTAAGTGTATCTTTTAAAATCTAGAAAGAGAGCCCTGGCCAGTTTGGCTCAGCGGTTAGAGCGTCGGCCTGCGGTCCGCAGAGACCCGGGTTCGGTTCCCGCCAAGGGCACGTACTTCAGTTGCAGTTTGTCCCCGGCCCTGGTTGGTCGTGCGGGTGGCAGCCACTCGATGTGTCCCTTCGCATCGATGTTTCTCTCTCTCTCCCTTCCTCTCTCTCCCTCCCACTCTATCTGTACAAAAAATGAAAAAGTGTCCTCGGGTGAGGATAAAAAAAAAAAAATCTAGAAAGAGAGACTGCTTAGAACAGATCTGTTGTTGAATAAACTGCCCAACAGTTTTCACCAAGCTCTAGAAATTTGAAAGGGCCACTAAAGTAGGCCTAAGAAATGAGCTGATGCTACTGAAGAAAAGTGAGAGCTCTACTTTCCTGAATTCTTTAAAATATATCTCACATTAAACTACCTCCAAGTCAAAGCATCCACTACAAACCTACATGCCTAAGGAAAATCACTAAGATATTAAAAAAAATCCTTATAGTCCCCTCACCTAAGGTAAATTGTATTTTCATTTTCCTACCCAAAGATCAGGAATAAATTATTTGTAAATGTGCTTGAAATTAAACATGTTTTAGTGTAAGATTTGGTTATTCATCTCATAGATCTTTACATTCTTTTTTTTGTTTGTTTTTTTTGTTTTTTATCCTCACCCGAGGACATTTTTCCATTTTTTTATTCAGACAGAGCGGGAGGGAAAGAGAGGAAGAGAGAGAAACATCGACATGAAAGGGACACATCGAGTGGCTGCCACCCGCACAACCCAACCAGGGCCGGGGACAAACTGCAACCGAAGTACATGCCCTTAGCGGGAACCAAACCCGGGTCTCTCTGGACTGCAGGTCAACACTCTAACCGCTGAGCCAAACTGGCCAGGGCGATCTTTACATTCTCTAACAGTTTCTCATTCTTTCTTACCACTGTCAAATTCCGGATTTCTTCCATGACACGAGGCCAGAAGGACTGTAGGCTTTGCTGGGCATCACTGCTGCTGGTACCACCAAATCCTCCTTCTGTGGACATTCTGACAACTGAAAACAAACACATACATGAGACACATTAAAAATAATAATAAAGTCAGACTTTTGGTCCAGGTTATTTATATCTTTCCTGTGGATGTTTTCAGTACTTCATTCAACTTTTCAACAATGGGGAATAAAATTTAGGAGAGAAAGAAGAGGGTCAGAACCTACATTTAGTCAACTGCTTTGTGATGGGGTAACGGAAGATCAGTTAGGAACCCCACATCAGCTATAACGGTAGATATTGTCATAATGTCTTAAAAGACTTTCAAGGGAAAGTAAAAAACTCCAGATGGCTTAAATGCTTATCTGGCAAATACTTAAATGCAAGAAACAGTTTAATCCAACACAAAGAACTAGAAACGTAGTGGTGTCCTAAGAATTTCTATTCTGGGAAATTATCTGAAAAGGTTTAACAATGCCAGTGACAGGATGCTGGTGGGAGAGCTATGTAAATCATTAAGCACTAATTCTGAAGGGCTGAAAGAAAAGCACAAAAGCAGGTGTCACATGAACAAACGTGTTACTTTCCAGGCTCCATGTGGATGCATGCTGGGAATATCACTCTCCATTGGCAGAGTGGAACGAAGGCTGATAAATCTAGGTTTAGACTGTGAGGATGTTTGATTTACTCTTAAATGTTTGCCTGGGATTGTCCTAGGTGTCTAATTTTTTTCTTTTTCCTTCTAAAGGAAATGATCAAAGGAAAGAAATGGAAGGAAAACAAGAGTACAATCTTCAAAGCACATTTCACTCTGGTGTAATGACATTAGTGGGTGATGATGTAATGGGAAAAGGTTTGGAGCCAATTTCTAGTGCTGGAGGCCTACAAGAAGCTGTATACATCAACAGGAACTCTAAGTACTAGGAAGCAATATGATCTTTGAGTTTCTGGAGGGAATTAAAGTGAAGAGTGTTGAATCACAGTTGGAAATGACCAGATAAAATCCTGAGTCCTAAATAACCAACTAAGCTCCCATTACATTTTCACTTATCACCATATGTGTATAACCTATACACTATTCTCTTAGATGTACTGAGAACAAAGAAATCAAAGTAATCTAGAGAAGTTTAATTCTTTATTTTTATTAACAGATAGTTAGGAGGTACTCTTGGCAACAAAGAGAGTGAGACTCACTAGCCTTTTAAAATGGGGCAAATAAAATTCTTTCTGGAAATGAAAGTAATTATTTAAAAACTAAAAATAAGAATTTATCCTTTTATTGCATGGATCCATAGACAGGCCTGATCTTAGCAAAATCTGCCACGCAAACCACTACAGTCAAAGGAGGAATGTGCACAATCGTCAGTGTGGTATCTTATATACTTGCTAATGATGAGTGGGTTTAGTTTGAGTGTAAAAGTCTGTGAGATTTAGAAAATTGGTAACAACCTTTGGTTGTCCTCTGAACTCTTCCAACAATCATTACAAAGGTGAACAGATAAAAAAAAACACGTTTTTGTTGTTGTTTATCCTCACCCGAGGACTTTTTTTGCATTTATCTTCAGATAGAGCAGGAGGGAGAGAGGGGGGAAGAGCAAGAGAAAAACATCGATGTGAGAGAGACACATCAAGTGTTTGCCACCCACACGACCCCAACCGGGGTGGGGACAAAATGCAACCAAGGTACGTACCCTTAGCAGGAACCGAACCTGGGACTCCCTGGTCCGCAGGCCGACACTCTAACCACTGAGCCAAACCAGCCAGGGCAAGAAACACTTTTAAAACTGTCTGTGCACAGTCTGCTTTTAAATTTTGCATTGCCCCAACTAAGGATGTCTTGGTGTAATCAGTTCCCAAACATATGGGCAGTCAATAGATCCTGAATGATTCTTTGGCTGGCTCAGAACCACACATTGTTGGAATAAGGGTTAGGTACAAAACAGAAGTTAAATCTTTCTAAAACTAAAAAATGAATTAAAGGTTAAGTTTTTAGCTTGAGAGGCCCATCTGAATTAGATAATCATAAATGAATGATGGCAAAAAATACATCAATAAAAATGTCCTTTATATTTTACTGCATTACAGAAGTTTAGGACTGAAAAAAACATTAAGAGCCATGCAGGTCCACCCCTCTAAAAGATGCGCACAGCTCTACTGCCCAACTCCCACAATCTCACCCTACATGGTCATTAGCTTAAATATGAGCTTCTCTCTCTCCAGTTCTGGGAAACTGGCTAACTGGTAAGACATTCTGTTCCATCTTTAGACGCAGTTCTATACGTTAAGTTGAATTTAGAAACAAAGTTCCATTTGAGCTTTGGATTTAGAATTATAGTTTTTATGATTTTTCCATCCAGAACCGTTTTATAAATTCCTGACTTCCAAGATACTCTCCTCATTAGAAACAGATCCTATCTTGAGGAAAAAGACACAAAATCTGGAGCATGATTTTTAGCATCTTTGCACAGAGATGATTAGTAGCTAATTAATTCTTTTAATACCTATTAAAGAACACAAATTGTTACTATAAATTCCTAGAAAAAAGTGAGTTATTTGATTCAAAAGGCTTTTGCCTGGCCGGTGTGGCTCAGTGGATTAAACACTGTCCCATGCCCTGTTTGATTCTTTTGGGGCACGTGCCTGGGCTTGATCCATGGTGCGGGCGTGTGGGGGGTGGCTAATCAATCAACCTCCCTCCCTCCCTCCCTCCCTCCCTCCCTCCCTCCTTCCCTCCATCCTTCCTTCCTTCCTTCCTTCCTCACCCCGAGGACATTTTTGCATTTATCTTCAGACAGAGCAGAGGAAGAAAAGGGGGGGGGGGACATCGATGCGAGAGAAACACATCAAGTGGTTGCCACCCACACGACCCCAACCGAGGCTGGGGACAAACTGCAACTGAGGTATGTGCCCTCGGCAAGAACCGAACCCAGGTCTCTAGGGACCGTGGGCCAACGCTCTAACCGTTGAGCCAAACCGACAAGGGCTCACTGTTTTGTTTTGTTTTTTATCCTCACCTGAGGACACTTTTTTCCATTCTTTGTTCAGAAAGAGTGGGAGGGAGAGAGAGGAAGAGAGAGAGAGAGAGAGAGAGAGAGAGAAACATCGACGTGAAAGGGACACACCGAGTGGCTGCCACCTGCACGACCAACCAGGGCCAGGGACAAACTGCAATCGAGGTATGTGCCCCTAGCCGGAACCGACCCTGCTTCTCTCCGGACCGCAGGCCAATGCTCTAACCGCTGAGCCAAACCAGCCAGGGCTTAATGTATCTTTCTTACATCGATGTGTCTATCTCTCTCTCTAAAACAATAAAAATTTAAAAAGGCTTTCCTTAAAGCAGATCTAGTCTTTATACAGGGCTTTAAAAATCAGACCAAATCTCCTCCTGCTGGTGTGGCTCAATGGTTGAGCGTCCCTGGTTCGATTCCCTGTCAGGACACATGTCCAGGTTGTCGGCCTGGTCCCCAGTGGGGGGGCATTCAGGAGGCAGCCAATCGATGTTCTCCCTCATTGATGTTTCTATCTCTCTCTGCCTCTTATTTCCTCTCTCTCGAAAATCAATAAAGGAAAAACAATTAAAATTAAAAAATCAGACCAAATCTCAAGCAACAGATTTTATGAAAACAAGTTGATGTTCTCAATGTTTTCTGACCAAGGCACAATTTAACATTAAAATAATAAAACCTCATCATAACACAAATAACTTTTGCTCACCAAACATCCCCAAAAGTTAAAAAATATAAAGCAACCTTAATCTTATCACTTATTTTTATAATTAATGCATTAATTGCAACAAAACTAATTTTGCTACAGAAGTAGCTTATTTATAACATCTACAGTCCATGGAAAATATGCTGGGTTCATCTTTTAGGATGATGAGAGAAGGTATGTATTTAAAAGTAAGATATTTATATTCTGGGATCCTTTTTATTCCATTTTAAATTGCTATCTCTATCATGGGATAAAGCTATTTATATACAGTTGACAAGGACAAAACTGCCTAAGACCAAGCCACATTAGCTTAGCTCAGTCTTATGAAAAATGCAGTACAGAATTTCCTAGATTTAATTCATTATTGATATTAGATTTATCACTCATGTTCATTAATTACTTTATAAGTACTTGAATAAGACTCCCTGACTATTTAATAAAGACTTAAGGCTCAGATGAAGTATTGAATGGTTGTTGCTAGATTCAGTCTCAATTCAGTATCTATACATTTATTTGGTTTTAAAAGCAGTTTGCTTTCCAAAGCTAGAAAGGGAAGAATCCAAGTCCATCATGAAAAGGTTATTGCTCAATGTTAAACTCAATTGTCATCTCTCTACAAGTCTTCTCTAAATATCCACATCTGGAAGTGATAGTTCCTTCTTGTGAACCTAGAGGCCTTGATCTGTATCTCTTTCTTATTATTTCCCCTTTCTTGTTTACAAGACCCTTGTGGCTAGGACCTGAGCGTGATTCATTTCTGGATTCCTCACAGCATCTAGCATGCAGTCTGATAAGTGATTACTCCTGAATAAGAGAGCAAGAGAGTTGCTGGGTAGGGCCTTTCTGAGAAAAAGAGGAGGCCGCTTAGAAAGCTTGGCCCTGAAGTAAACTTATTGGGAGTATTTGAACAACCAAAGGAAGTGGTTATAAAAAATAAATGAGGTTCTTGCTGGGCCTTTAAAATAAGGAGTACAACTAGAAATCCACATGATTAGGAGGACACACACACAGTCCTGAACATTGCAAGGAAGACTGGAAAGCAGGAAACATGGATGCATACCATTCCCAAATAGAAATCTTTTGAAAGTCAGAACCTTCTCAGAAAGACCAGGATAGATTAATAAAGTATGACACATTTATGACAATAGGTAAGTAGGAGGAGAAGGAGGGCAAATACCTCTGTTTGGCTATCCATTATCAGGAAGATAAGGAGAAAACCATGGAGGAAATGAGATGATTCAATCAGATCACTCAAGGGTTGCCAATCTAGCTGTCACTCGAATATCCAGTTACTCTTTATCATTCTTGAAGAAAAAAAGAAGAGACCTAAGCAGTTTTCAAAATATCCCAGAAGCAGAGTACTCCTCTTTTAAGACTCACTTGGAAATCTTTCCAACTTTCGCTTTTGACCAGGTACCATGCTTGCCAAATCCTCCCTTAGTGATATGCCTAGACATGGAAAGGATGTATCAAAATGATCATCCTCATAAAATACAAACAAGTATAAGGTTTTATTGCAATATTCCCTAATTTCTAAACCTCTGTACCTTTAGATTTTAGCTTTCCTATTTCTTGGCATGCACCTCATTCTCTCTGCAAAAGTCCTTTATAATATGCCTAAACCCACAACACTGCTCTTTGAACTAACTAAAATTAATTAGCTGTTTGGGGATGATAATACTTTAAAACACTAAGATCACAACAACTACTCAAAAAAAAGACCACAAAAAGCTCCCCTAAAATGAAGCCCAAATCCCTGACCAATGCTTACTCCACCCAGGCAGTCAAGTTTTACCTAAAAAAAGTCATGTTCTCATTGTCAAATGTAAGCAAATATCTCTTAGCCCAGTTCTGAATGAAAAACAAATCTAAACATTGTTACCATCTTTCCCCTTAATGTCCCCCCACAATCCAACTTGCAACCTTTAGGCTGCTGTGAGTATCCTCAATCATTTCTGGCTCTCCAACTTAACATACTCCAAGTGGCTCTCTACGTTCAAAGTACATTATCTTCACTGCACTACCTTTTTGACTTGCATTTTACGTAATTGTGTTTTCCTCTGTCATGAGATGACATGATTTTTATTTTAAAGCCCAATCAGGAGCACTATCACATGCGTTTTATGTTCCAGTACTGCTTCAGGTATTCACTGAAGTTAGTTCCAGGCTTCGTTTATTTGAATTAGCTAAAACTGTTGGGATGTTGTAACTAGATGGGTAAGAAGAAAGGGGATAGGATTAAGGCTAATTTGTGCCCTGGCCAGTGTGGTTCAGTGGTTAGAGCATCAGCCCATGCACCTAAGGGTTTTGGGTTCAATTCCTGATCCCAGTCAGGGCACATGTGGGAAGCAACCAATCAATGTGTCTTTCTCACATCACTGTTTCTCTCTCCCCCCTCTCCCTTCCATTCTCTCTAAAAATCAATGGAAAAAATATCCTCAGGTGAAGATTAACATCAACAACAACAACAAAAAGCTAATTTGTGCTTGCTATTTTAGATATTCTTCGAAACTACAAAGAAAAATTAAAACTAAATTTGAGAACCGAGGTTTTTCAAAAACAAAATAATTCTACTAACAGATAATTTGGTTCTCATGTTTGTAGAGACGAACCTAAGGACAAATGCCATTATCAAACACAGCTAAAAAGCCTTTTAAGATTTAAGGAGGTATATGCATGCCACAATAAAACCAACCTCAAATTGACAATTTCAGAAAAAGAAAAATAACACTGCTCTGGAAATCAAAAGACCTATATGTTTGTGATCTGGCCCGCTGCCCACCATGCTGGTGGCCTTGTCCAGTCACTCTACTAAGCCACTCCAGCACTGATGTATACTGAACACACATGCTAAGGAGTGGTCTGATATGGAAGGCCTACACTTCACTACTTGAGGATGCAATAAATGAATGATACAAGGGAAGACAGGGTGACTAGACAGAAAAGATGGTTCAACAGTCTTTAAGCTCATCTAAGGTTTCTACTTAAGCAAGAAAGCACTAAGCTTAGTGCCAGAAACCTTACTACTTAAATTCCAAACCCTTACATAACTGGATACAGATGGCACACACCACGATAAGAACGCATAATGTACCCTTACTAAAGACCCCTTTCCTTATTAATGCCAAGTTTAGTGTTTGAGGGTGTCTGTTTCTAGCTCCAAAAAGCTAAGTATGAAGCTTTTCAAACTGCCTACTGGAAAAACCATGCTTCCCAAAAGACTAAGGGTTAGAACTGGCTGCATACCGCTCTCCCTAAAGATCTGCTCACAAGGACATATTTTTAGATTGGCAGTAGAAACACTTTTCCCTTCAAAAACAAAAACATATTTCTGTTTGCTATTACAACATAATCTTTTAAACAGGGCCTAGATCATAAAATCATTATAAATAAAGGCACTGCAACTGGTATAAGCAATGAAACTGATAGGAAGGCATGAACAGAACATTTTATAACCTGTTTCTGTGGAATAGACATGGTATGTAAACACCTTACTTCACACACTTTCTTCCTCATTCCTTTATTAATTCTCCACTTAAACCATCCCTACATATACGACAGTAATAAAACAGTATTAGTATTTTGTATGATGGAGGGAAAAAGACCAAATACTTTAGTGAAGTATTCTAAAGCAAAGGTCTGCAGCCTCCTTTTGTAAATTAAGTTTTACTGAAAACTGCAATACTCATCCATTTACAATGTCTATGACTAGTCGAAGTGTTACAACAGAAACCTTATGGCCCGCAAGCTGAAAATATTATATGGCTCTTTACCAAAAAAGGGTCAGGTAACATTTAGAATCCAGTTCTAAAGAAAGTTAAGTGTTTTATTTCACCGAATCCTTCCATGACAAAGGTAGTGTTATTCTCCATTTACTGAGAAACTGAGTGCCAGAGTTTGAGAAGCCTGCCCTAAATCACACAGCTGTTTTATGGCTCCCACACCTGTTCAGCCTCCATCAGGAATAATCTGGGCTAGCCCCTTTGCCCCACAGAAATATTTGTTAATCTCTTTGACCCTCCAACCTAATAGGAGTCAATAAATTCTTGCAGAAAGAATGATGAGTAACTGGTTTTTCAGGCTCTGAGCCTGAAAGAGAATTCTGACATGAGCTAAAGACAGAAATAGTGCCAGTAGCCTGAGTCAAATTGTATCCTAAAACAAAGAGCCATTTTGCTTACCGGATCACTTATAAGATTCAGAAACCCTGAGAACTTCTTGTCCAGCTTCTGGCAGGATCCTGTATTTGTGTATACTCAGAAGAGGTGAACGTGTGACTCTGAAGAATGTTTCAAAGATGCCAACTCAAGAGCTTTCGAGTTTAGAAACTACTTGTCATATGCATTACCTTCAACTGATGTGTTACTCAGCTCAGTGATAAAGACATCGATATTATTCCAACTTTACTGATAAGAAAGCTAAGGATGGGTATTTTAAGTTACTTGCTTAAGGTCACAATATAGTAAAGGGTGGATTTGGAAATGTAAAAGCTCTAAAATTCTGTTCTTGATTTAGTATAGCTTGTTTATTCTCACTTTCTGCACTGTTTTAAGGTATATGTCTATTCAAAGTGTTCAGACAGATGAGCAGCCTCAGCTTTGATTACTGGCTTTAAAATCCTTAATCCAAAAGATTGTTTTCATCCACTTTCTCTGTTCCCAAAATCTCTGTAGCAATCATAAAAGAGAAGATGCTAATGATACCGCTGTCTCCTATCATATGAGCATCTTTCTTTCATTTCTCTGTTGTCTCTTTCCACACTCTATTACTCTTTTCTTTTCTATTTTATCCTTCCCCTTTGCATGTCTCTACATCAGTCAGTAGCACCTACGAATACTCAGCTGTCAACAGTGGGGGGCAGTAAAGTACAGGGTAAAGAAAGAAAATGTACTGGACCTGGAAAGTCTTGTTCTCTGGCTACTAATCTGCTATATGTCCATGATCCTGGACAAATCATTTAATTTCTTGGAGCCTATGCTCACCTACAAAAGCACCTCACTGGGAAGCTGCAGCACATGAACGGGAAAATACATTAGAAGGTCACAAAAAATATTAAGCATCATACACAAGCCAGATGGCATGTCATCAGCATTGCTCAAAGAATTCTCAATTAAAATCCTGGATGGTGTTAAAAGAATGTCAAGATGAGCTTGGCTGTATTGATTTGACTGTATGGATTCTGCTGATTCACAGACACACTGAATTCTGCCCTCTGCTTAGTGTCTTTTATCACAGATTTAAATGTTGAAAGAAAGAAAAAGATTGGGGAGGACGGGGAGGAGGAGGGCAGGCATGAGAAAAAACAAATTTTCCAAGCCAGCCAAACCTTGAATCTCCCACCTCCATGTAGACAGCTGTCAGGAACTGAGAATGTAAAGACCACTTCAAAGAGTGCAAAGCAACTGAGATGGTTATGCTAATCTCTTACATTTGTACATGCTTTACACTTAGTAAAATAGCTTTCTTCACATTATCTAATTTGTTTTTCACTGCAAACATAGTATAGGTACTGTAATTCCTATCTGACAGATGAAGATACTTTATCCAGACTGAGGGTCTTCTTGCCTTAGGTCACAAGGCAAGTACAGGCCAGAGCTGGAACTAAAACCCATGCCCCTGATTTTCAATTGTGTGCTCTTTCACTGCAGGTTCTCCTCTCTCTTTCGAATTGACAACTCAGTAGAGGGTCAAAAACTTAAGAACCTATGAGACGTCTCAGCCTGGAACATAAATCCACCAAGCCTTCTATCTTTAGTTATCCTGTTCCTCCTCCTTGAAAAAGTACTCCAAAATGCCAAGATGCCAGATTCTTAGACATTTCAAAGTAGAAAACTTAAGGTTTTCAAGCTTGTTAAAGCTGCAGCTGTCCACAAGGATGGGGACTTAGAGATAACTGGTCACCAACCAAGAGTGAAGATGAAAAGTTCTGGTAAATCCAGCTCAAAGTTCACTCTGGGGGCCTGGTGATGAAAAGCCATTTAGTCATCTTTTCACTATACAGTAGTTCAAATGAATGGCCTTAGGCTAGCCCCCTTATTGAGATGGTTCCATAGCTGCACTTATAGGAGGAATCGTCTGGCTAAATTCATGTTGTCCTTCAAAATTATAGCTATTGCTACACTGTGAATATGGTGAATTCCTTTGTTCCAACTTCCTCCCTAAGGGTAAAGCAATGAGTATAAATCACAGCTAAGAACTATAAAGCAACTGATTATTTAAGAATACCATGACTTATCTAAAAATACCAATCTCTGTGGTTCAAGATAAGAATCCAAATCTAGGAGGTGCCCAATACATAACACACAGTGTGCATCTACAAGCTATGGAACACCAAAGCACACCCAACGCAACTCTAACCTCCTATCTATATGGAAAAAGTCCTTCAACGACTTATCTGACCTTGGTGAACTTAGTACTGATGAAAGACAATTTTCCAACACAATGGTAGT